TCTCTCTCTCTCTCTCTCTCTTTGTGTGTGTGTGTATGTGTGTATGTACAACTTATTTTCTATAAATTTTGAAGATTCTAAGAAGGGTAAGATTCAGAAACTGCTGAAATTTATGAATATTCTGAGCAGGTGTAGACTTTGAAATGGTTGAATATTGGAAGTATTTCCAGTAATTATATCGTTCTTTCTTTCTTTCTTTCTTTCTTTCTTTCTTTCTTTCTTTCTTTCTTTCTCTCTCTCTCTCTCTCTCTCTCTTTCTCTCTCTATCTCTCTCTCTGTCTCTTTGTGTGTGTGTGTATGTGTGTATGTACAACTTATTTTCTGTAAATTTTGAAGATTCTGAGAAGGGTAAGATTCAGAAACTGCTGAAATTTATGAATATTCTGAGCAGGTGTAAACTCTGAAATGGTTGAAAGCCTAAGCTAAAGGAGGCTTTCAGTGATTTCATAGTCTACACCTAGTTGGATAGTATCATAGCTTCCCAAGATTCTTAGTTGGGTCACTAAAACTCCATGCTATAAACCCCTCTGCTGCATGTCAAAGAAAACTCTCATATCCTTTATTGGAGACTGCCAAGATTATGAGCAGATGTAGAGTATGAAATCGTCAAAAGTCTCCTCTCTATGCGTAGAATAAATTTAAACACAAATCGAAATTTATTTTTCTTCGAAATTAATTATTTTTTTTCCCTTTTTCGATATTTTCATCGTTCATTTCTTTTGTGAGGATTGCGCCCGCAATGGGGCATTGCCGACATGCATATATTCTGGGCTAAGGGCCCCAGCAAGCCTCGTGCCCGCCCTAAGTGAAGGTGGGTCAGAATATCCACGTGAGGCCTTTCATTCAGCATTTCAAAAAGTGCGTATCAGACAGTTGTTGCACACCAATTTGTTGGAGTGCACCGTGAGCCCAGACTCATGCAGAAGCAGTTGAGCTGAGCAGCTGTAGGCTTTGAAATCAATGGAACCCTCTGCTCCATGCCACATCAAATGCTTATCTGTTATCATGAGGAGTCCGAAAATTATGAGCAGTTGTAAACTATAAAATCAGTGAAAGCCTCCTAGCATACTAAGGTTGAAGAATCAAAACGTTATGAGCGCTCGTAAAGTGTGAAATCTCATAAATCCCTTGCAGCTATATTCGGCATGCGTAGATGCCATCCGTAAAATTTACGAATAATCTGACAAGGTGTTGACTCTGAAATCATTGAAGGTTTGCTCTCCATATGCCGTCGATCCCACAACAAATGCTCATACGCTATCCTGAAGAGCCCGGATATTCTCAGTTGGTGTGAATTATGAAACCACTGAAAGTCTCATTTGTAAGCATGCATACTTAAGCAAGTTGAGAAAGTCTGAATATTCTGAGCACTTGTTAAAGTGTGAAATTCTTGAAATCCTCTGCTATATGCGGCATGCATAGATCCGATCAGTGAAATTTAAAAATAATCTGAGCAGGTGTACACTATGAGGTTGCTGAATGTCTGCTTTGCATGCTACAACAAATGCTCATATGCTATTCTGAAGAGTCTGAGGATTCTGAGCAGGTATAGAGTAGGAAATCGCTGAAAGTCTCATTTATAAGCATATTTACTTGAAGAGGTTGAAAATTTTGAACATTCTGAGCATTTGTAAGTGCGAAATCTCTGAAAGCCCCGACTATATGCGGCATGCATAGATGGCTTTCTTGAAGTTTATGAATATTCTGAATAGGAGTAGACTCTGAAATCGGTGCTCGTTGCCTATCATGCGACAACAAAGTCTCATTTATAAGCATGCATACTTAAGGAGGTTGAGAAATATGAACATTCTGACCACTCATAAAAGTGTGAAATCCTTGAAACCCCCTGCTATATGCGGCATGCATAGATCCCACTCCGTGAAATTTATGAATAATCTGAGCAGGTGTACACTATGAGGTTGCTGAATGTCTTCTCTGCATACCACAACAATGTTCATATGCTATCCTGAAGCGTCTGAGGATTCTGAGCACGTGTAGACTATGAAATCAGTGAAAGTCTTATTTATAAGCATATTTACTTAAGGAGGTTAAAAAATTTGAACATTCTGAGCACTTTTTAAGTGTGAAATCTCTGAAACCCCCGGCTATACGCGACATGCATAGATGGCTTCCCTGAAGTTGATGAATATTATGAGAAGGTGTAGACTCTGGAATCGCAGCTCGGTACCTCTAATGCGACAACAAAGTCTCATTTATAAGCATCCATAGGTGGTTAAAAAATCTGAACATTCTGAGCACTCATAAAAGTGTGAAATCCTTGAAACCCCCTGCTATATGCGGCATGCAAGGACTCCATCTGTGAAATTTATGAATAATCTGAGCATGTGTACACTATGAGGTCGCCGAATGCCTGCTCTACATGCCACAACAAATGTCCATATGCTATCCTGAAGAGTCTGAGGATATGAGCAAGTGTAGACTATGAAATGACTGAAATTCTCATATATAAGCATATTTACTTGAGGAGGTTGAAAAATCTGAACATTATGAATTTATGAGCACTTGTAAAGTATGAAATCTATGAAACAAGTAGCTATATGTGGAATGCATAGACGTCATCCCCGAAGTTTATGAATATTCTGAGAATGTGTAGATTCTAAAGTCGTTGCTGGCCACCTCTCCATGCGACAACAAATGCTGATATACTATTCCGAAGAGTCCGAAGATTCAGAGAAGGTGTACACGACGAAATCACTGAGAGTCTTCTTAGTCGGTTCACGAAGGGTTTGATAATACGAAAATCTTCAGCAGTTCTTCAACAGTGAATACTATGAAGTTCTTGAACATGGTACCTATAATCGGTCCACATCTAGTGGGAATATTTAAAGTGTTGAAACCTTATCTCCATAAGGTTGAAAACGATGGGTGCTTTTGGATGAGTTTCACTTCAGCAATTTTTTTTAGCTGTAAAAAATGAAACATGCAGGTTTTCGCCAATTTCATAAACGAACTAAATCGTTGAAAACCTTCCACTTCAGAAAACGTTTCAGCGAAGATTCAGAGTCTTGTTGACCGCTTGTGTTCCCCATAGGTATTCCAATAACCTGCTTCAGGATCGTACCGCTGACAACAGTGAAGCAAAAGTCCAGCTTAAACTTCACAAACTCCAATATCATCGCAAAGTCGAAAAATTGACAACGCTCCACTGTCGTTCTTGAGCTCATCACTGCTCCCTTGCCTCGCCGCTTCACCTATCTCCCCGGAATCCTTTCCGCTCATGCCACCAGATGCACCATTCCAGCTCACGTGTAATTGCTTCGTGCGGCAACTTACTAAACATATCCTTAATATCGTACGACCCTACTAACACCCGTGAATACTTGCCTATCTAAGCCATCTTCCGATTAACGGATCCCAGTCGAGGTCGCAACCCACAAATCGACTTCAAATTGAAATGCCCGCTCTCGGGCAAGGCAAACAGCATACCATTGACATCTCGCGCAACTTTCCTACAAACACCGTTACAAGGTTCGCGAAACGTCGGGCAGATTGGCCTGTACTTCGCCGTATCCTTGTGCTTTGATATAGCGTAAGCATTACCAAGTCTACCTTCCGCTTCCCATTTCCCAAGTTGGTCAAAATCTCGTCTACGAAATTCGTCATAGCATTCACTCAAAATAGCCTCCTCCATCCTCGCACATATTTCGTAGCCATCACTACCCTCAAAGGTTGTCTTCATCGCCCTCCCGTAAATGAATGGACACATAACCAGTGTGTCGCCTGGGTTCCTATCCAGGGGCGCCCGCACCAGACCCTCAAGCTGCACTGCCAGTTGTCTCACCTCGGTCAGATCGCTGACATCCTGCCCATCCGATCTAGTTACACAGCGTTGAATCTCTCCCGGCGAGAAACTGATCCTGCCAATCCCTTTACCCAACCAACCTACATCCTCCACACCACTCGACAATTTCTTCGCCAGCCTTGTCACTACTCCCTTACTACCATCCCTAGGCACATTCGTCGCATTGCGAGCAATGATAGGACAGCTCGCCAGCTCGCCTATGCGGAAATGGACGTGCCCATCCAAACAAGGGAAGGGCATATCGGCGCTTGTGCACCCGAAGACTCCATCCGCCGCATATCGGCGGTGATTATGGATAATTTCGCCCACGTTCTGGCTACGTGTCCAGACAACGCGGGTGCGTCTTCGCACCATCTCCGACACAGGTCGGGTTAGCTGCAGTCTGCCCACCCCACTCCTCACGAGCCTCACGACCTCACTCTTCCTTATCCTGTCATCGTACTCGACCTTCACCATGATCCGCCTTCTAATGCTCATACCAAACCTCTTCTTACAAACATCGAACAACATCTTACTCGCCTTGGTACGACTCCTCTTCTCCCAGAAAAGTTTCGCGGCCCCGTAGTAGTACACCAGCTCATCTATCGATTTTGTCGAAAGCTTCAGTCGCTTCGCCTTGTTCTTGAACATACCAATCAGCTCCTGTTTCAGCTTCAACGTCCTTGGTGACGCCTCCACAATGTGACGCAGCAACAACCGTCCTTCCGTTTCCAGCAAACCTTTGCACTTCCTAAGCGGTGTAGTTCGTTTTCCCGTGGCAACGCGGGATTCTCCGCACAGTCTTCGTATCACGCGCCGTCCATCCGACCAAATCCGCCCACCGTTACTATACAGCTCAACAGTGGTCCCATGTGACAACTAAGTTTTACTGCGTAGGAGTCCCGCTATTCGAACAGTAGGGGGGCAGCCTTTTGTATGAAATTTCACAATTCTACCTGACTGTCTGATATCCCCTCGTGCTGCGACATCAGCCTTGTATGTCCATTGGCTCCTTCTCTCCCTCCTCCCCTTCCGTCTTCTATTCTTAGTCCTCTTCTTTGTTCCGATCGTATTCAGGGAAGGTGACCAAGTCCGGATCAATGTCTTCTCTACTGCTTCCAACTCTGCCCTGTCCTTGCTAAAGTAAACTGGTATAGCCACGTACTTCTCGAAACCTACTTTGCCCAGCCAGTTGTACATGTTCCTCCCCCGTCGCTTACCACGCGACTTAATACTGCAGACGTGCTCTCCCCATCGCACCATTAGCTCTCTCTCTGTCATCCCTACATATGTCTGCTTGTGCCATGGAGACACCAGCACGTACACACAGCTACTTGCCTCACCAAGCTCCAATCTACCTTGCTCGGCTTCAGTGCGCCAATACTCGATAAACTTGGAACACCACTTAACCTTTCCCTGCAAAACTAAACTCAGCACGCAAGCTCTCATACAACGCTCGTCCTTAATATTACGGCCATGCTCCCGAAGTCGCCTTTCACTCAACTGTCCGATCCTACACCATAGATCCTGAGGCCCACATCCTCACTCGGATGCCTCCTCGTTGTCCTTGTCCGCATCACCCCTGCACGATCGCTGCAGCCCCACCCTCAGGGACACCGGCAGAGGCACGTTAACGGGATCGTACGCCTTCACGACCCGTCTTTTTTCCAACCGATTGATTGCTATGTCACGCTTCCCATACACAACACGCTCAGCCTTACACGCGTCCTTCAGTTCATCCACGGTTAGTGCTTCGAACAATTCACGGCATTCAGCCTCATACTTCTCCTTATCGCCAGGCCCGGTGCCAGCCGTCACATGTTTAAGCGACAAAGAGATCTTACCCACGGGTTCAAGGATACCCATCGAGCAGCCCGCCCCAACGCCCTTATCGGCGCAAATCTCACTAATACGCGACTTCACACCATAGGACAGGCCAGTACGCTGCCCCTTCATGGATTTAACCATCGGGGGGCTATCGCCCACTGCAATCTCCTTGCCACGCTTCCTTTTATCATTCAGGCTAAGCCCAACAGCTCTTCGGCGCAATCTGAGCAATTCATCATCCTCGACTTCCTCGTCCTCTGCTTCCACTGTCGCTATCAGCCGCCTCAACCGCTCCTTTTCCTCCAGCGTCTCACCACGTTCATTCATCTTAATAGTCTTCACGATCTTTCTCGCCATCGGTGCGCACTCCTCCTTTTCTTTCCCACGGAGTACCTCCTCACGCACCATGCGCATCAGTCTAGCATCCCGTTCATCCTCGTACCTACGTTTCTCCGCAAGCTCCTCCAATCGCTTTGCTTCGGCCTCCTTCCGCAGCGCTTCTTCCTTGCAAGCGTCTTCCTCCCTCGCTTCCCTCTCCAGGCGCTCCCTCCTCTCCTGTGCTTTCTGTAGGAAATATTCGCGCATGAGGCCATCGGTATCACTCCCACGCCTCCAAAATGTGCTATCGGCGGACATGCTCCTTCGGTCTTGACCAGTCACCATAGTCCGGCCACCTCGCACCTGCGGTGGGGGAATGAAAGGTATACCCCTCTTCTTAGCGTCCTGATAGTCCTCACAGAAGTTCCGGAAGTGATCCGGGTCACCTCGTCTGAAACACATGCGCCCCGCCATCCAGTTATCGGAACTCGGTCGAGTGCCATCACCACCACTCCTACCGCCACCGCTATCACCAGCCGGTCCGGCAGAGCCGCTAGCTCCACTGCTCCCACTCTCACGACTCATCCCGCTGCTCCCCAGTTACGGGTCGCCCAGCAGTATCACACATCAAATCACGTAGTCTCACGAAGTTATCGCCCGTAGTCTCACGTAGTATCTTCACGCAGTATCTTCACGCAATATCGAGCGCCGCCACCCCCTCCAGGTACAATTTCCTAGCAGGTTACGACGATTGGTCTAAGGAAAGAGAGATGTGGAACCAAGCAATCACAACGTAATCAATCACAAAGTAATCAATCACACCGTAATTACAAAGTCGCAGCAAACAAGCGCTGCCATAGCCGAGTTCAAAGATAAGAGTGAAAACAAGATTCGACGCGCACCACCAACGCACCGCAACCCCAAGAACCACCGACCCTTCCACGAACAAAAGCGCTGACTCAGTTTTGGTGCAGAGCACCAAAAGGGAGTCCAACCGGCAACCGCCAGCTTTTTAAACCCGACGTCCCAGTCAAATCCTACGCTACGAACTCTCGCTAGTCGCCCTTAGGCCCACACCAAGCTCATATCGGAAATAACAGGTCCGACAGTCCATCCTTCCCTGCACAAGTCGCAGGCTCGAGACCAAGTCCCGTACGACCCGCCGAACACAAAGCCGAACCAACGTCCGCGCCAAATCAGCCGAAAGAGCCGAGAAACCCAGGCTACATCTAAACCAGGTCCCATACCGCGCAGGTTCTTACATAGCCGAAAACAATACCAAAAACCAAACCAAACAGCAAATAGTCTATACAACAACTACGTTCGTCCAGACAAACGCTGTAGCATCCTGTATAGGACCGCAATCACAGCATAAGGGATGTTTTTTCTTCTTTTTTTTTTAATCTGCTGTTCGTGGATAGAGGAGGGCCCTGACTGAACTGCGCAGCCCGAGTTTCAACTGCAATTGAAACTCGGGCCCTGACTAAACTGCTAAATCGCAGTTTCAAATGCAATTACAAACTGCTTTGGTGACTGCGCCGTAGTTACCTTAAAAATATGATATATATATTTCTTCATGGGGGGGGGAGCCCCCAACATGCACAACCCCCTCCGCCCCCACTGCAGATCTCCGACCCCCCCTCGGGAAGGCCCCAAAATCGGCTCGGACAACTGTACATACAGCCTGTACGACCGCCCGGGGATCTGAACGTACGGTGGTATGCGGCGTTAGTACGGACGTATACACAGCCCGAAAGTGTAGCGCTGAAACCTCAATCATGGCTCCATGGGCGACAGCGTGCCCCCCATATCCACCCATCGCTGGGACAGATCCCTGTGGAGGGAGGGGAGTGTACAATTCACGTCCACCTTGGAGTCCTCCTTCGCCGTCTCCTGAGGGGAAAGCGGCGGGTGGCCCGTTGCGGCTGACAATCTCATATCTCGCAGTCTGGGAGGGTTGTTCCTCCATATTAAGAGCTGGCTGATGGCTGCAGGATATTTTGGCGGTGCTCCAAACCTGTCCCCATCCTGGCTGAGCAATGATAGATGGGACGATGGAGGAGCGCCATGCTCACCAACTACCCCCTTCGAGTCCTCCATATGCTGGTGATGGCCAGGGTAAACAGTCGGCGGACATTCGGGACACCACTGGTGTTTGACATGGCTGTGAGGCAGCTCCCCCTGCAATGATTGCACCTTTCAACGTTGTTAGGACCAGGAACGAAAAAGCGAATGGCAAGAAGAGACACCAAACCAACAACGATAGCTAGAAGAGACACCAAACCAACGATGATGAAGGTAACACCCCTGAGAAAACAACAGCCTCGAGATGCAGCAGGAGCTGATTTGAAGGAAAGGCAATGGAAGAAGCTCTGCGTCGGTGACAGTGGCCCTGGTCCAGCCGGACCTTCCAGACGTTGTTCGGACGCGTTTCTATCCAAACAGGTATGGAGTTGTGGGCTGCCATCCCATGGCCGACAGGTGAAGAGTGACGTGGCTGAAGCACGGCACAGAACGGAGCAGAGAACGAGTTAACGGGAGGAGAAGGACGGAGGACACTGCTGGTGTGGCAAGAGGGCATGTGGTCGACATACCCACGGCGTGATTGGAGGCGCAAGCCTCCCCGTGACAGTGCCCCGCATAAGAGAACAGCGCATGAACCACGGCTATGGCCATGCATGGAAAAGAGATAATGTGGATGGCGTAGTCCATGGCAAAGTACCACTACTGTTACTTTACCTCTTCAGGCACATTTGCTGAGGGCACAATGCAGAGATGGCTGACATGCTAGAGACAATGTAAGCCGAAGTGCTGTTACGGTAGCAATCCCATTGCATCTGACCATTGCTGCAACCCTGTCTACCATGGAAAGAATGGTGTCCGAACATGGCCGAAGCATCACACTCGGTGCATGGACGGCCGCACAACGTAGCTGGCCAGAAGCTGCTGTGAGGCGAGACTCACGGGCTGCATTGCCTTTTATTTTGTTTTGGTATTGAATTGAAATTTGAATTGGCCGGGGATGCTGCTGCCCACAACTATTTCAAATCTGTGACCAGGGGTCCGGAAGGGTTCTGGGTCCACATCGCTGTGCCAAATCGATGCCGTCAAAGCCCGCATATGGACCAACAGGCACAATCCATAGCAGGGGACGATTCCGCCCGGGCACTTCATCCCTGGCCGTTTTCCCACGCCTCACCACCACCAAGGCAAGGGTCACTGCAATCCTCAGCCACATGCCAGTAGGAAGTTCAGCTGGCTGGTCATGACTGTGTGACATAGCCTTCAATGCCCGCCCATCCATCATGGACAACGGACTGGACGTGGGAAGGTCCACCAATGTTCTGCCCTGTCCACCTCTGTCGATGTTGGAAGGGGTGCTCCCCCCCTCTTTTACCCTTCCATTGCCAACAGAATGTGTGCTCAGACGGTGCGAAAAAGAGGCCGCAGCCAGAGTGGAAACAACCCACCGACTTTACCAGACCGTTTTTTTGTGGCCTTTGGGATCCTGGAAAACCACTTCTGGAAACCAAAAAGTTTTCCACGCCACTGTGCTGTTCCTCCCTCAGTTTTGTGTGTAGTGAAGTGAACTGTGCTGCGACATTTCAACGTTCCAACAAGTTGGTGAGTGGGCATCTGTCCACCAGGTTGGTGAGTGGACATCTGTCCAGATGGAGGGCTGGACTGGTGTGGACTGCATGACCCTTGAACAGACTGGTGCCAGGTAATGCAGAATTATTTCTATTTTGTTCAGCTGGTTGCTTCTGGATTCCAACTCAGGTCTGTATTTCAACAGTTCATGGATGTACCAGCTGAGCTATGCCCGTTGGCTCAGTCCACTGTGCACTGTTTTGGACTGCATGACAATTGAACAAACAGGTGCCAGGTAATTCAGAATTATTTTTATTTTGTTCATCTGGTTGCATCTCGATTGCAACTCAGGTCTGTATTTCAACAGTTCATGGGTGTACCAGCTGAGCTATGTCTGTTGGCTGAGTCCTCGCCCCACTGTGCACTGTTTTGGACTGCATGACCCTTGAACAGACTGGTGCCAGGTAATTCAGAATTGTTTTTAGGGGTAACTAGGGCGCAGTCACGAAAGCAGGTTGTAAATGCATTTCGAACTGCCTTTTTGGACTCCAGTACCGTCCCAAGTTTCAACTGCAGTCGAAACACTTCACACGCATAAAAGTCAAAAGGCTGAGTTTGCAACTGCAGACCAGTCCGCCATGTGGCCTCCTTTTTTTTTTTTTTTTTTTTTTTCCT